GATATATAGACAGTAATATTGGTACGCATCATTTGTGGTTAATTTACAATAAACTGAAAGAGATTAAAAATAAATATTACAAAATACCAATAAATGCGACATCCTGTAAATGATTCAGCCACGTGTCACCAAAAGATTGCGTAACATCAAATCTGAATGTGTACAATTTTCCGATCATGACCATCTGATTAATCTGCAAAAATTTCCAACAGTTTCTCACATATTCGAACAATCAGTTAAAAGATAATTTCTACATAATCCGTGTCCAAATATGATCAGACATTAAAATCAGGCAAGGGTATTTCAACAAAAATGAAAACTCAGAGTATATGGCCATTGACTATGAAACCACCAAACTTCGAAACATAGCACAAGCCATATTTGACCAACTGAAATGAGAAGGTATAAAAAATGAAAGGAACTTGCCGAGAAAACAAGGAAAAGGTGATAGGGGAAGCAGGGGGTTCATTATGATGGATATGTTAATTGTTAGCAATATATGGAAGCTTACCATTTCTTAACATCTCCATCACTTTCATCATGACCAGCAGCGCCATTAACTTGGGTTGTTGAAGTAGAGACCAAGATACTTTCTTGAGGTCCTGGATGAATAAGCTGAGAAAATCCCTGTCCAAGTGACTTCCATAACCGTGTTGGCAGTGATGCTTGCAAATTCCCACTGCTCCCATAAGATGACAGTTCGATAAACTCAGCAGAATCAGGTTTCAGTTCAGAGAACCGTACAGCGCCTAAGAGCCGTTCGGGAAGCTCTGTTTCAGTCTGACTCTCAATAAGAAAAGCTAGGTCAACTGTCAGAGTTGTGATATAACCAAATGCCAGGTGAACAATAGCACTTGCAATCATTGAAGATCCAATATCAATATCAACTTCACAAAAATTCTCAGATATACAATACTTGCAAGAAAGAGCTCGCCCAATGACACATATTGCTTGCTCTCCAACTGCTTTTCTAACAATCCATGGCCCTTTGACAATGTTAGCGATCAATTTTAGCCTTGAATTTCTAAATGCATCATCACCTTTCAAGAATTGGTCCATCAAAGAACCCTCTGGAATAGGTTCAGTGGTTACAAAATAAGCTACAGCACTATAGCTGTCCTTAGTTGGGAGCTGGAGATTAAATGCCCAAATAAATGGCTCATCACCTGTTGTAAAGGCTTCATCAACAACCTTTCTAACACGATTTTTACGATGGCTCAAGAGGTCACAGAGCTTTGTAGAAGTTCTAATCCAGTCAAAACCAAGAGACTTAAGCAGATATTTACCACCAGGAATTTTAACCTTGTTTGAAAAGTACTCCGGACCCCTTACCATGAAGTTATCCCTGGGTGGACATGCCCAACCATTCTGACAGTTATCTGGTTCAAGTAGTGGAACAGCTCCCTCTGATCGTACTCTCTCTACCCATTCTGGTTCCTTGCCATCCTCACCTATAGCCATGTGTCCTGCTGGAATAAACATACAAGAAATCTCAGTGGGATATAAAATTACAACACCACAAATTGAATTAGTAACTTAATATTACACCATTCTACATCGGAAAAAAAATCCGCAACATTGGTAACGAAGTAACAGGGTACATCATCATGAACTAAGCCCGGATTATATGATAAGATAGATTGGAAAACATGACTAGCGCTGTCCTAATGGCACTACAAAAACATGACAATTCAATACAAAGGCAAATGAACTCAGAAACAAGACAAACATCCTATAGAACAAGTCTCTCAAAAGCTACAATCCCACAAAAAATCTCCACCTGTGATATCATTATAAAACTTTCCCTTCTGACAGCTCTGTTGATATAAATACGACTAAATCCATTTAAAAATGAAGAAAGAGAAAAAAAAATCATATAATCTAGTCCAAGTCTCTAATATGTTACATATTTCCAGCCTCTTAGTATGTCTTTGTAAGCTCCAGGGATAAGCCAAAACCGATTATCGATCTACCGACAAACTAGCTTGGTTTCCTAGTTATCCCATTAATGTACTTTTATTACCTTATGACAATATACAGCAACACAATAACTAGAGACCTTAAAGAAGAAGGTCAATTGAATAAAATAGTTTCTGCATTGATCATTAGCATCAATCGGATCATATAATTCAAAATCCGGATTGAAAATGGAACTTCTAAGTATACACATATAGAAATAAACAAAAGAAGTACACAAACAATTCCAAAAGTCCAACAGAACCACTAAGTACCTCCTTAAGCATCCGTTTTTCACACGGAACACCAGGAACCCTTTCTGCGAAATAATATTTTCTTTTAAATTTTCTTGATAAGTAACAATTATCTATTTCCAAGACAACTTTATGGTTCTTGAACTATAAAACAGAATAAAAGCTTATTAAAATACAAATACAAAGGAAAAAGTTCAACAAACCCACAAAGACAAACCAAATAAACTCAATATATTAGTATCTCAGCGTTCCTCCTTTAGGTTTAATTGTGCAAAACAATAATACAAAAAATCTCAACAAAATAAATGAGAAAAAAGTCAGAATTACAACAATTAAGCTGGCAAAGAGAACATTTTTTTTTGTTTAAAAATCTAACCTTGAATTGGAGGGGAGGACGAAGGAGCTTAAAGTTGAAGAGGAGTGAAAAGAAAACCCTAATTACTCAAAAAGTTGAGGTCATAGATATGAATTAGGCTTTTTTTTTTAATCAAATAGAGGGAAGCTCCAAACGGTAGCTTTGTTTTTTCCTTCTCTATATAGTCTGTGCTTCTTTTATGGTTTGCTTGCTTTATTGGCTTTCAAAAACCAACCGACCGGTCATCTCGATGGCCAAACCGTTGATAATATATTTTATTAGAAAAATTAAATTGACGACTGTATATATACATATATATTTAAATGAAATCGTATATGCAGAAATATATTTTTAAATTGACTATATTTTATTGATATTTTAAAAAATCGTATACATATAGTTTAATTCTAAGTTGTTTACAATAAAATATACTTCAAGTTATATATACATAAATATATTTATATATATAAATATAAAATTATGTTGTGAAATAAAAAAAATAAAACAAGAAGAAGAGATATGATAATTAAGAAAGAAATTGTATTATTATTCTAATATGAATTGTATATAATATTTTCTTTAACTTCTATAGTTATAACCATAAGCAGTAGATGTAATATACATTTAAAAAATAAATAAATACCACCTTAATCGTTTATTGAGGTAAAAAAAAAAAGTAACAAAGCAAATTTCTAAGGGAACCGAGAACATAAAGGAAAACATAAAGACGTGAGACAAAATGAAACAAATAAAGGAAAATAAAAGGCTCAGACGATCCAAAAGTTTCTGATTTTAAATTTTAAGAAGGATAAGGATATTGAAAACGCAGAAATCAAATGGGCAAGACGATAAGTAGGAGAGACCCTAAGACAACAACCATCAAAGGTGACAGACATCTAAGGAGGCCCGCAAAATGACGATAAACATTAGGATTGTTCGCAGTCGGTTTGGATTGATTTTTGGCTAAAAGTTCAACCGATCCGAAAGTATAAATGTTTGCGGTTTGAATCGGTTTAAATATTTCTAAAAAATCCGATTCGATCTGATCCAATTAAGTGCAGTTTGATTCACTTTGGATTTGTGCGATTTTTTGGATTCTAGCTTTTCAAAATAATTCAAAGCAACAACACTGCCTAAGAGGGTCAAACAGTTTCACCATTTCACATCCTAAGCTAACATCGATCGAATAAACACCGTTGATGAACATAAAATGAACAATATCAACTCCCAACCATAATCTCAGGTAACTCGTCAAAATTGCTAAATCCATCAAATTCAATTCAATTCAATTCTCAACTAATCTACATAGATCAACAAAACAAAAGTAAGAAAAAAAAGAATAAACACACATCAGTTTAGCACAAACTGTAAACAATCTATCCATATCAAACAAGATAAATACTAGAAATGATAAGTCAACTAACAGAATTAATTGCAATCGTTCATGAGAAATTGTTTTCTAGGCTCTTGCAGCAACATTTTAGAACATATGAATGATTAATGCAAGTTAATTTAATTTTTATAATGCCCTAATTTGCGTATAGATTCACTTGAATAATTTTCTCTTAGTAATTCAGATTATAGTGTAATAGACACTATGTTGAACATTTTAAATAGTATAACATATTACACTTTATTGTAATAGATATCGATTCGGTTTGGATCAGTTTTAAATTTTTAATCGAAATCGAATCAAACCGATCGGTTTAAAAAAAATCAAACACACTAAATTGATTTCGATTTTTTTCGATTATCGATTTTTTGAATCGATTTTCGGTTATTTTTTTTGGATTGGATTAGATTTAAACACCTTTAATCAACATCGATGGTGACAAGTATCAAAGGGAAAGCATCTTATACCCAAAAAGTATCCTCAACTCTCTTTCTACCTACAACAACCAATGGATATTAGAGATTTAATAATAGTGTATATCAAAATTCTATATTATAGATAAAGATACACATCTAAATAAATAAATATTCATAATAATTTAAAAAATTTAATTAATTTAAAATTTTAATTAAACAATTATATATATATATATGTGTGTAATTATAAAAAAACAAGTGATAAAAAAATAAACATTTAATTTAATTTAATTTAAAAATATATATAAATAATATAATACTTATTTAATTTAATGTAATGCCTAAATATTGATTCAATTCCTTTCAAATCTTACCAATAATTTTTTTTTAAAAGTATTGTTAACTATAATTTAAGTTAATTAAAAATTATTTATTTTAATTGTATTTTAAAATAAAATAACTAATTTATAATTTAATTAATAATTGACTAATTTGATTTCAAGGACAACAATACTAGAGAGAAGAGGACAAAACTAGGATGAGTTTGGCACGTCAGTTCCAGTGAAGCCTGTACATGTAAACATATATAATCAATTGCTTTTCTTCTTTATCATATCACAGATTATCCTTCCAATCCTTGATCTCGCTTCAATCATGCACAGATTCCTCTCAATATCGTCCAAATCAACCTCTCTCAAAAATCGGAAGCAGCTTCACCTCCCCTTCGTTTCACTAGTTTCTCCTGCTACACCAGAAGGGCAATCCTGTTTTCACTATTTCGATCAAAAGCCACCTTCTTTAGGCACTAGGCTCGGTTTTGGTCGGGTTTTCTCGTCTGGGTATTTTCCAAATCGTGTTAATTTGAAAGAGCATGAAAGATATGAAAATGGGTTTTTGAGGTTGAAGGGTTTTGCTGGGGAAATTAGGAGTTACAGCAGTGAAATTGACAGGGAGTCTATAGAGTATGATGTTGTCGTTGTTGGGGCTGGTCCGGCTGGTTTATCTGCAGCTATAAGGCTCAAGCAATTGTGTCAGGAGAAAAAGGCTGATTTATCGGTTTGTGTTGTTGAAAAAGGTGCTGAAGTGGGTAAGTTTCTGTCGTCTTCTTTTGGGGATTTTACAGTACATTTGACTATGGCGATTGAGCTTAAAACCATATAGTGCAAGTTTAGCTTTCAACATTTATAAACATCGCTTAATATTTCAATGTGATTGCTCAGGAGAAAAACATATGATATTTGTATGTGATTTTAGGTGCTCACGTCCTTTCTGGGAACGTTTTTGAACCTCGGGCATTGGATGAGCTTTTCCCACAATGGAAAGATGAAGAGGTGCTTTCTCTTTTGATGTCTTCATTTTAGAATTTAAGTGTAATTATTCATGATATGCTAAAGACTGGTATATTGGAATCAGGTCAGTAACATAGTTTCTTATCTCAACCATAGATGGCAACAGATAGGCTACCTTTTCGCCTGTATGGCATTATGTGGGTGGTTTAATCAATTGTTGAGTATCCTACATGGTCTGTCAAGTTAACCTAAGAAAGAAGCTAACAAAATTATTTTTTGTGTTTCTGATCCAAATAGTTACAAAACTTGGGATGAATTCTATGTGAAATGATTATTGCTGCATAACATCGATAATGATGAATTTCATAAGTCCGGTATTCTGGTACTGCTGTAAATTTGAAATGACATTAAGTGCTTTATGTTCTAACATCTTTTAAGCACACAGTAACTTCGTATTTATAACTGAAAATTGCTTGTTTATTGTCTTTTACTAAAAAATGAGGGATGTATGACTGACCATGCACATAATTTGAATATTGATAATTTTTCTCACTTCATTTACCACATTTGCTTACTTCGCATGCAGGCACCAGTAAATGTCCCCGTTTCTTGTGACAAGTTTTTGTTTCTTACAAAGAATCGTGCAATTTCACTTCCTAGTCCATTTGATAACGAGGGAAACTATGTTATTAGGTATTTCTCTAATACTCATATACCTTGCCTGGAATGACTTGAATTTGACAACCAACTGCATTTGGGCTAGATTGCAATGATATTTCCTTTTCCTTTTAATAAACAAATTAAGCAGATTGCAACTTTGAAAACCGTTTCCTGAAAAAATGTTAGGTTGCTGATCAAATTAAGCTTTGACACTCATCTTATCTTATGAGAACCTGCAATTCCTTCACTGAAATTTAATATTTTAAAATATAAATAATGTGAACTTCCTTTTTATGTACTTCTTCCCATTTAATGGGCTCAACTTTACCTTAAAGCTTAATGTCTTGTATGTTCTGATGTAGCTTAAGTCAATTGGTGCGTTGGATGGGGGTAAAAGCTGAGGAATTGGGAGTGGAAATTTATCCAGGTTTTGCTGCCAGTGAGGTACTTATAATTTATGTCTTGTTGCTGTTTGATGTTGTGATGAATGTTTAAACGACAAGGTGTTCCATTCTTTAGATATTGTACGATGAAGACAATAAAGTTGTTGGGATTGGAACTAATGACATGGGAGTTACCAAAGATGGTTCTAAAAAAGAGAATTTCCAGCGTGGTGTGGCATTGAAAGGCATCTCTCTCTCTCCCCCCCCTCTGTTCTGTGTGAATTTAAGTTGTCTATAGTGCACTAAGCTGTGATGTTAACATGCAGGTCGGATTACACTTCTAGCTGAAGGATGTCGGGGATCATTATCACAGGTTTTCAGAGAAAATATTTCTGCTAAAGTTGCTTTTCTAGGGGTTCAATTTAGTTAGTTTTACTAGTAAAGAATGCCAGTGATGGTCATTGTCTTAGTTTTCTTGAACAGAAAATAATGAAAGAGTACAAGCTGAGAGAGAAGGTACAAGCTCAACATCAAACTTATGCTCTGGGAATTAAAGAGGTAAATTTTTTTACATCTGAAGAATATATTTTACTGGGTTGATGTTTGGTTTTTATACTTTTCCCTTTTGAGATATAATCCAGTGTTAATATATGCTGCATAGTGGAGATAATGTTTGTTGATATTGTTATTCAATCAGGTTTGGGAAATCGATGAGAACAAGCATAAGCCTGGTACAGTTCTCCACACATTAGGCTGGCCTTTGGATTCCAAGACTTATGGAGGTTCATTTCTGTACCACATGAAGGATCGACAGGTAATAAAGTTTGTGCAGATGCTCTCTATTTTAGGCTGATTTTAAAATAGAATATTTGTGCTTCTTTGTCCATGGAGATTTCCATCTGCCACCTTAAGATTGCCAAAATAGGCTGTATGTTTATATATAAACAGCTTGCTAAAACTGGACTGTTATTGCATGGAGATTCAAGCTTTTATTCTGGAAGATGTAAATGTTGGTGTCATTTTATTATCCCAGTGTTGGATGTGTCAGTCGCACTCTGAAATGAATGCTTTTAACAATGTCACTAGTTTTTAGTGCTGCTGTCAAATGGAAATTAAATATGTTTGACAAAAAGGGGACCATAATCCCTGTCCAACTTCTTAGCAGTCTCAGACTCTCAGTTACTAATTAAGGCATCAGTCTTTAGTCCTTTGCGATCTTATTGAAAGCTTAGCATCAGGTACAAACTTCCCCTGAAATTTGGACAAAAACTGGTATGAAATTTTTTCTAAGTTATATTTTTTGTTGGCAGATTTTGTGCCATATTCCTTGCCTGATTTGATGTGACCTGAAAAAACATTTCCTTTTTCTCTTTCATTATTTTCATCACCAGTACCATTTTTTGTTTATTTTCTTCCCACTTTCAGTCCTAATTCTGAGGTCGTGCAACATCATTTTCTTACTATTGTTGCCAAATCTTCATTTATTGTTGGTTTATACATTTCTGGCACTATAGCTGTTATTTAAGTCTTAAAGCATTATCATTGAATTGTTCATCATAATGATACTGTCCATCTCATTTATTCTTGTTCTTTTTCCCCTTGAGTATACAGATTTCAATTGGTCTTGTGGTTGCCTTGAATTATCATAACCCTTTCTTGAATCCTTATGAGGAATTCCAGGTAAACTGAATTTTAAATTTTTTTACAATGTTCTATCAATTTCTTTCAAGTTTTGGTCTTTTTGTTAGTGTGCACTTGGAACATGGATATATTTTGCCATTTTCTTGAATATTAATTAAGAAAAAAGTATTTTATGCATGTTAAAGTTTGTTAGTTATTTCCTACATTTTTCTATTCTAATTTTAACATGATTCTGCATGTGCATATACATTTTTTACTATCCACAGTAATGTATAACATCTTCATGTTGTTATGGCTTGCTGAGCCCATTTGAGCACCTCATTTTGTTTTGTTTCATTTCAGTTCTTTGTCTTTCTTTTCTTTCATCTTATCAATGTTGAAATGGAAGGCCTAAGCATCAGAGAAATTGGTCACATGCTTTTGTTTGGATCAAGCACCATATTTTATATATATGTATATGATTCTCTATCAAAACCTTTCAACTAATTTGGCAGGCATGGTCACTGTTTAATTTTAACTATTCGGAATTGGAATCTTGGTGACTCATCTAAATCACTCACAAAAATGACCTTCAAAATGGAAGATTAGAAACAATTTCCCTTGCATGTTACAGCAATATTCACCCCCCCCCCTTGTGCTGAACAGCATGCTGCTTCTTGATTTAGCATTGTTCAAGGTAGGGTATCATAATAGGAACCAACTTAAGGAGGCAGTGGTAACAGAGAGAACCATTTAGGGAGAAAATAAAACATTGGCATGATTTCCCGAGTCCCTGACCATTAGCTCACTTTCCTATTATAGTTTAGTTGGTATTCTGATTTGTTGGTTGCTGTAGATATTCTGGAAAATTGATGTTTTGACTTTTCAATTTTAACTCTCTCAAACACGAAATAAAAGAATTTGGAATCCCACTCATATTTCTCTTTGGTTGTTTCTTCTGGTAGAAACTCAAGCATCATCCCTCCATAAAATGTCTACTAGAAGGTGGGACTGTGATTCAGTATGGGGCTCGGACATTGAATGAAGGTGGTTTTCAGGTGAGTTGAGCAATCTTCCTTTAGTCATAATTGCTCAAAAGTAAGCTAGTAGAGTTGAAAGCTGTTTTCTGAACTTCATAAGTGGCCAGCACTGTGAGCTACTATGAACATGGTTTTTGTAGTAGATTTAATGTGTCCAAATATAATGCATAGAACAACAGCTCTGAACATTATATGATCTTCTAGCGGCTTATTGATGATGAAGGATATGGGGAAGCTGATTTACCACTATGATCACACTTTTAATTACACCTTCAGTATTTCTGTTTGGTTATTACTTGTTATGCATACATGAATATGATGCTAGTTAAATTTCAGTCTGTTCCATATCCAGTTTTTCCGGGAGGAGCAATAATTGGATGTTCCGCTGGCTTTTTAAATGTACCAAAAATAAAGGGAACTCATACTGCCATGAAATCAGGTAATTAATCTAAGTGATATGGTCTATATTTACTTACCAATTGTTGATTTTTCCCCAATTAGTGAATTCTAATTCTTGCATGTTTCTACATTCAAGATTCTGAATTATTCAGATCATTTAAACCAATATGATCGCATGCTGCCACTTGTTCATATGATATAGATACCAAGTTTACATAGTATTGAAAAAACAGGGCATGTTTCTTACAGGAATGCTAGCGGCAGAAGCTACTTTTGACACACTTCATGAGGGTTCCAATATGGAAGCATATTGGGATGCTTTGAGGAATTCATGGGTGTGGGAGGAACTTCATAGAGCTCGGAATTACCGACCTGTAAGTAGAGCATTTCACCATTTTTATCCTTTTCAATTCCTGCGGTTTCCTCGTGTCCTATTCTTTAGTACGCTTTCATTTAGTTTCACGACTGCTTTTGGGTGTTAAGTTGATGAGCCAATTTAAGAAGCTGATCTTCTTTCACTTTCACCTTTTGTTTATTTGTCTAACTGGTGAGGTTTATGCCTTTGATTATATGTTCTGAATATAGTTTCATTTCTTGTAGGCTTTCGAGTATGGACTTCTCCCAGGCTTAGCCTTAAGTGCATTGGAACAGTAAGACTTCTTTTGCTGGACATAGCTAAGATTACTTGTTGGCGATGTTTGCTCACTTTGATTTTCTCTAATGTTAGTGTTGCACTGATTTGTCTTCTTACAGCTATGTACTGAAAGGAAAATCTCCGTTCACACTTAAGCATGGGAAACCTGACCATGAAGCAACAAATGTAAGGGAAATCTTTTTCTGGAGAAAAAAATTGAAGTTATTCCAGATAAAACAGTCAATGTGTGAAACAATGGAAAGATCACTCTTTATAATTCAATACTATGTCAAGATGTATCGGAGATGCTGTAAATGAGCCTAATCATATCTCAAATTCATGCATAAATAGAATTATTGCTGTAAATTATGATAAAAAGAAAAACAAAACAAAGCTGCCTATGCTGATGGAGAAAAGTTAATCCTGTACACTACCTTTTGCAGGTTGCTAAGTTACATTCCCCAATTGAATACCCGAAGCCAGATGGAGTATTGTCCTTTGACATGCCAACATCTTTGCACAGGTATGGAGAATGTAACTAATTGCCTTATGTTAATTCTCTTTATCATGGTTTAGATTTTATTTCCAGAGCTTAATTAGATAAAAAATAAATAAATCTCAAGCTGATTCCATAATTCATAAGCCTCTAGTTTCGGTTTTATGGTAGATGATGAAGGAAAGGAGCAAATAAATGTAGTACGAAACTGGATTAATCGGCAAAAAATGTGTATTCTCTTTTTTATTCTTTCTTTACTTATGGAGTGTTTTGCTTATTTTTTATTTTCATTTTAGGAGCAATACAAATCATAACCATGACCAGCTAGTTCATCTTCGCTTGAGGGACCCGAATATTCCTGAAACTGTAAACTTGCCCGAGTATGCTGGACCCGAGTCCCGATATTGTCCTGCCCGTGTATACGAGTAAATTTCTTACCATACTTCTTCTTCAAGCTTATTCCCTTATAATATATTGTCTCTGAATCCGTCGTTTTTATTGTTGTTCGAATTGAAGGTACGTTCCTGATGAAAAGAATCAACTTAAGTTGCAGATCAATGCTCAAAATTGCTTGCACTGTAAGGTAATATTCCAAACAATCTGTTGATACTTACCTCAAAAACATCCTTTCTTCTAGCTATAATGGTTTCACTGGAAGAAAAAAAATAGTACCACAAACAAAGGTCCTATATATATCGGTATCCGACATTCCCAACCGAGTTTAACATATTGATTTAAACGATTTACAGGCATGTGATATTAAAGATCCAAAGCAAAACATCGAGTGGACAGTGCCGGAAGGAGGTGGTGGTCCAGGCTATTCAGTCATGTAGAATATATAAGCTAACGCGCTTTTCGTTATCAGCGGTCGTTGCAAATGTAGTTTTACATTTGGACTGTACAACAAATACATTATTATCTTTAAAATAATTAACAGCTCCACCTTAAATGTTTTCAGGAATATGGCTTTTTTTATTATACCAAATGAAAAACAAGCTTTAAGGAGCTCATCTTGATTCCTTAACCCATGATTTGCCTTCAATCTCAAGTAATGAAGTGGATTTTTTTAATTAAGAAAATTGATTATTAACGTGTCAAAATTACACTGAGGTCTGTTAATAGTTTTACTCGGTGAATAAATTATTTTTCCCACAGAAGAGGAAAAAGAAGGGGAATGGTTATATGGCTCAAACCTAATCACGAGTTGTCTATCTGGTTAGAGAGTAGTATGTTTATAGAATATTAGTAATTGATAGTTACTCAGATTAATCACATTTGAAATTGTAAACACCATCATAATTACGTACTCTTATCGGTAGCTCTTTGTATATATGTTGCCAAAACTTCACAGCTGTAGTAAAAATTATAACAGTTTAAATCTGATGCGAAGAATCTCAGTCCATTAAAAAAATACGAATGGAAATTTTCATCTTACTAATTACACTCTTCGACAATGAAATCTTAGTCCATTAAAAAAATTAACTGTGGCAACTTAGGAGTAATGATTAAGGCGTCTAAACTTCTTTCTGCCACGAGTTCACATCCCGTGGGACTACAGTTTGGTTGAACAATAATTAACCTTTGATCCCACAAAATAAAAAACAAAATCAAGGTTCACGGACTACACCATTCATTCGCTTATAAATTCCACTCTTTGGATACCACCAAACATCCCCATACTCATCGATCCATATCATCAAACAAACACCAGAGAAAATGAAGGGTCTGGCATTTATAGTAGCACTGGTAATGGTTATGGCAGTTGCTACCACAGATGCTCAAACCATTTGCAACATGACCACTTCAGATTTGATGGCATGCAAGCCGGCAGTGACTCCTCCAAACCCTCCTCCGCCCACGTCGACGTGTTGCTCAGCCCTTGCCCACGCCAACATGCGTTGCCTTTGCTCGTATAAGAACTCGAAGCTCTTGCCTACCCTTGGCATTGACCCAAACCTTGCCGTGAAATTGCCTAGCTTGTGCAAGCTTCCTCACCCTGCAAATTGTTAGAGCCATGCATGTTCACGTGATTGTACTGTGTTTCAGGGTTTATTTTTTCTTCCTTCTATGTATTGTGTCTTGATTGGTGTTTGTCTTATAATCATGTAATGTCATGTACGTGTTGTGTGTTTTCTCCTGAAAAATTATAATATATATATACGTTTCAAAATAAAGGAGGGGATTGAAAGGAGTAACAAAAATAGTTCAGTAAATTAAGCAAACAATATTTGATTTGTTAAACTTAAAATTCAGAGGGTAACAATATTTGCTTGATCTAATTAGCTGAAGAGAATATGAAGTTGTTTGATTCAACACTTTAGTCGCTTCTAGTACTGTTGTTGTTTGGTAGATATATTTGTCTATTTAAGTTTTGGCCAAAAAAGAGATGAAGCTTTAAGTTTTTATAATTATTTAGAAATTTTAAAAACTTTTCACAAATTTTATTGTATTTTTAAAAAAAATTGATATTTTTTCGTATCTTTAGAATTCTTAAATTTTTAGAAGTTCAAATCGAAAAAAAGAAATCATAAATATTGAGTCAAATTCGTTGGTTTATTTAAAATCCAGACCAAATTGGTAAAATATATAAAGATTGATAATTGCATATGTTATTATATCACTTTAAAAAACTATTTTTTTTGGTTAACGATTGAACAGGGAGTGATCAAAACAGTACCAGTAAAAAGAATAGTGATGGAATCGGAAATTTTTATTGTTTGATGACCCAAACAAAAACAAAGTTAAGAACTAGTTCACTGCAGTGTTTAATCATTTGGATAGATAAGCTGTAACAAGAGAAGTGTGAATCATGTATAAATTCCAAAAAAAAAGTGTTCGTTACAAATTTCATTATTTTAATCCAAAACATTCAACGATATAAATAAATCGAGTTTAAACGAATAAAAATATATATGTACATATCTTTAAAGATACTTATATTCAATTCGTATTTATTAAAACTTTTAATATTATATTCGTATTCATATTTAATTGTCTATTTTCAAATGTATTCATATTCAGTTCATTTAACTTTTACGAACATATTCATTTATATGTAGGTACTCACTCAAGACCAAGATGAAGTGGTAAGGACATGGTTGAACCAATGTCAAGGGCACACGTTTGAGTTGCCTCGATAACCAACACTCTCTTTCTATTTTTTTTTATTTGCGAGTCAAAGAAAAATAACGAAATTATGTTACTAATCCTTAATCTTCTTACATTTTATAATTTAAATTTTAAAATTTACAATATGTTACTTTCACAAATATTTAAATGAAAAAATAAAAAGAAAATGGGAATGAGGTGAACAAGTTTATAAACAAACGGAAGACAAATCTATTCATGTTTGTTCATTTTTTAAAGGGTAAACTACATGTATGGTCATTAAAGTATGAGTAAGTTTCTTTTTTAACATTGAAGTTTTAAAAGTAAAGAAATGATCATTAATGTTATATTTTTATAACAAATCGGTCACTTAACAATCGTTACCCTAATAAAAGAAGTATGATTTCTTGGTCACTCGACCGTTAACAGAAACCCGGCCCGTATTTGCCTGGGACTGGTCCAAGGTATCTCCAATCGAGAGAGGAGATTTTGGGAGAGCCATTGACTTTAGAGAAGGTAAGTTATCAGTAAACAGTTGTTTCAAGTCTGAACGACAGTTGAATATGGGAACTAATCCGATTATTTACTACTTATTTGCATTTTCATTTCGTTAAACTGAATTTCTCGAACAAATTTATATGCACTTACCATCATCCATGTTAAGGAAAACTATAATAGATTATGGAATTTGTTCGACAATCCGAATCATACTGCATTGCTCCTTTTGTGAAACTGTTTCTTTGATGTTTAGGTAGGGATGGTTTGACGCAGAACATGTTATATAATATACATGCTCATCGGAAATTACCAAGAGTTTTGTAAGATAAATTGCAAGGGGGTTTGTACGGTCGATATGGACAATGTATTATAAATTAATAATGTTAGTGACCAATTGTTAGTTTTAAGATACCTGAAAGGAAATAAGAAACTTACTCAAACATGGGTGACCATATATATACTTTAACCTTTATTAAATGAAGGTTCACACTTATATGTTTAACTTAATAAATAAATATAAATAAACATTATATAAATAGTTCAAAAAATTTGATCGAATACCCTATTCGTTTACATCCCTATGCCCCTCCAACCAAATTCAAAATCCTCAATTGACCAAATGCACAGTGCTACGTAACCTCTTCGAGCAAGAACGGTTTCGACATCGTCTTTGGCATCAGTTCCCGGCAGCCAATCGTAGGAACATTGCTTCGGCTTGCTAATCCAGACCAGCGAAACGAATTTGGATGCTGAATACATTGCAGAACCAGACCTGTATAGTCTCAACGAACTTGTCTTTAACTTAGGTTTTGAAGACGTAACTTAGGACAATTTTTTTTTTTTTTTGGATTTCACGAGAACAATGTTGTGATTTTTATGGAGGATTTATGAGCTTTGACAATGCATTAAAGTTGAAGTTTCAGTGTTGAGGGTAGACTTGAACCAGAGAAATAGTATTTGATTGGTTGCATGGTACACGATACTAGTTAGAACTTAAATGTAATCCTAATAAGTAATTCTAATAGAGATATATTTCATATTTACTAAGAGTTCTTGATCGGTAGAATCGTAATGAATATTTTCTAATTATTAAAAAGGGTAAAAAAACCTCCAATTCTTTTCAAAAATTAATTAAATCCTTCAATAAAAATTTAATTAAATCTCAATCTTCTTTTAAAATTAATTAAGTTCTTTATTATAATACTAAAAATATCTTTAATGTTTAATTGGATAGTCACTTTGGTATGTTTAGCACTTTAACTAACGCTTTATTTTGAACCAAATAATCTATCTATGGTGCTCGAACTTAGGACCTCTAGAAATAACAATAATTCTTTTAACCATTAAAGTAACTTGGTTCAGCATTATTATATACATACGTATACATGTATTTATACTTAAGTACTTATACATATTGGGTGACAAAATGTTGATGAAAATACTAAAATCTATATTATCTTCCATTTGCACATGAATTTCCAATGACACATCATTCATACCCTTAAGCTGTGGTTTCAGTTTTAGGTTGAAGATAATGTTTGTAACTAGGACCGTAGTTTGCATGGCGACATCTCTTATTCCTTTGGATCTTTTAAAATGTAGACCCCATTCTTGATACAAAGTAGGTTGAAATGCTAAAGATTGAAACTCTTCGGCAAATATAAAACCACTTCACCATCTTTCAACCTAACTTTATTGCTCTCTTTAAATTCTCATCATCATTAAAACTATACCTTTCTCAAGCAAAACATCTTATTGAACAACTATTTATAACTTATTTCCTTTTGCTGCTGCTTTACATGATCTTCTCCAGAAAACATGCATTCCTTTGATTCTTCTTCTTCATGTTCCGTCATCTTTGTTGCACTTTTATCTTTCTTTCTTACGCTTTCTCATTCGTTAACATTACAATCAGACATTGAAGCTCTTCAATCCCTGAAACTTTCCGTTGATCCAAACATGATCCCACCGTCATCTTACCTCACAACGTGGGATTTCTCGGTCGATCCATGCGAAACTTCCGGTTCGAAATTTCTGGGAATTTTATGCTCTCTCCCTCGAGGCAATTCAACAAGCCGAATAACAACGCTTGAGCTTGATAGCGTCGGATATGATGGATTTTTACCACCCCGAATAGGAACACTTACTGCACTCACCACACTCGACCTTAGCGGTAACAGGTTCAGAGGGCCGGTGCCGGAGACCATAAAGAATCTCAAAAAACTCACCAGAATCTCTCTTTCCGGCAACTTTTTCACCGGAGGTATCTGGACATGGATATACAGGTTGAAGAAGCTGGAAAGGATAAACCTGTCGGGAAACCAACTCTCCGGTCGGATCCCTGCTCGGATTTCCAAGCTACGAAGATTGACTCACTTAAGCCTATCCAACAACCAGTTCTCACAAAGAATTCCCAACCTTTATGCATTAGAAAATCTTCAGATACTCGAGCTCGACTCGAACATGTTGATCGGAAGCTTGCCAGAGCTTCCTTCAGGGTTAACAACATTGAGATTGTCCACAACAAACTGACGGGGCACATCACATCATTAGTTAACCTTGAGCATCTAATATCCATAGATTTGAGTGACAACTGGTTTTCAGGACCCGTAAATAGGGGAGTTCTTGCATTACCTCGGTTGACATACCTCAATGTTTCCTTCAACAAGTTCACAAAAATAGAGGTGAACAACTATTTCGGAAGCGGATCCCGGCTTCTAACGCTGGACGCGCAACGGAACCTCCTGCAAGGTCATTTACCGGTTAAATTGGTGAACTTCGAGAGATTAGTAGTGATTAATCTGTCACACAATCAGTTTACAGGTGAAATCCCCATGGGGTATGGACAAAGATTGGGGAGACCATGGAGAACCCTGTTTTTAGATCATAACTATCTATCAGGTCTTGTTTCAGTAGAGTTTGGCAGCGCCGTCGTGAGGATCAGAGGCAGTCTTGCAAATAATTGCCTGAGATGCCCTTTAAGGATCCCACTTTGCAGGGGGCGGCAGAGGTCAGCTTCGGCATGCCACGGTTACACTCAAAATACCACAAATCATTTAGAGGAAAACTATTGATTAACTTTCTCAGCACATGTAAATTGTTTTTTTTTTATGAATATGGCAATTAGAAAATCATAGCAGATAAGGAATTCTAATATGGTAAAAATTCAGGTTGTTTTGACTCTGTTTATTTATTTGAAGTTGTCAACATTCTACTTTCATGTAAATATATGCTTTTATTAAACTTAAAAATATTTTTAATAATTTAAATTACAAATGAATTGAGACAACCAATTAATCTAAAATCACTACACATCCAATTAGGTTATCAAGCCCATCAACAAATTTACCCAATCCTAAAAGAATTCCCTAGCCCAAACTCAACTCATTCCATCTAAATAATCCATTTTTTTATTTTAAAATGATAAAATAATATTTTTAATTATTTCAATTACATACGGCCCGGCCCAACTCATGGAATAAATTTTTTTACCCATAGCCAACTCGAACTCAAGTCAGCCCAATCCAACCAAATAGCCAATTTTCATATAAAATTAATAAATTTAATTTATATTAATAACTATATATTTTTATTAAAAATTCCATATACAATCCAAAACCGATTCGACCCAATGACTTTGTACTTTTCTTTATTCTTTATAAGGACAAATTCAAAGATATGATTGATTATGCAATGCTTATTGCATCAAATTTTAACATTGTGAATGAAAAAAATATTAAATTAAAAGAGTCATTCTCATAATGAATCTCTACGGTGCTCAATTTGAAAACCACAAACGGTTTCAAATTGTTTATCATTGAAAAAGGAGAATGTAATAGTTATGACTTAAAAAAACTTTATATTAATAAACCATTCAGACTCATTTAACAAACAAAAGTAAGATTCCATATAATAAGATACTATATATATATATATATATAACCTGCCAAAGTTTATATAAGATGGAGTTTTCGCATGTTCAAAGAGACCTTTCATGTTTATTACCACATAACATCTGCCAAATCAATGGACTGCAAACCATGCAGTGTCATTCTGATAAATAAATATTAAAAAAATATTACTTTAATAATTCTTTTTACCTTTGGAGACCTTTTAACTAAGACTAAACTTGGCGTAGACTAAATTTGGCGTTGTCATTGAGTTCTAAATACTTGGGCAAACAGATTGAGAACTGCCGTGTATGGCATTTCCTGATGAGTTTTAACATGCAAGTTGCTTTAACTTCTTTTTCTTCTATTATTTTTATTGTCCTTTTTGGTTCAGTGTTCAAACATACTTATTAAACTTGAACGGATACCAAACTCATTGATAGAATTGGGCTACCTGGTTATTAGCTCAAAGTTCTTTCGTCACTGAATTATTTGTGACATGAACAGATACCAAACTTATTAAACTTGAATATATACCGAATTCATTGGATCCTTTGTGACATCACTGAATTATTTTACATATAACATATATGTTGTGGTTACAAATAAAAGTTAGATGCAAAATACTGAAGAAAGAGGAGTAGAAAATGAGTCGGATGGAAATCATTTTTAGTTTTCTTTCTAATCTACGGGATAAAATGATTGGATTTCTTTCGTCATGTTGTGGTTTGGGAACGATTTTTTTTCCCTGACCTATGTCTTCAGTTACATGGTCATTGATATATATATTTGCTGAAACATTGGATATTGACTCACTTATGTAAAGGCTAACATTGATCTGGTTCTTACGGTAACATGGTTGCTTGGCACGAAATGTTTGCTTATATCAAAGGCACAAACTGGATAGCTAAACTCATGCTTGTGTTCTGCTAATTCTTGTTTCTTTTCTCTTGAGAATTAGATTGTTGAACTTTAGTCATTGACTTGTGTTACTTCTTTTGTGTTTTGGTTTTCTGCTTCTTGTTTTCTAGTTTATGTTGTTTTCATTTGTATTCTCTACAAATGAACAAAAAATAATTGCATTCTCTACATGTAGTAGGGAAGTTCTTTGTTGTAGTTCTCCTTTCTTTGTCCCATAGAGGTCAATAATGTTACATATCATGTTTAATGGAGGAATTATCAGGATCCTCTTTTCTTTTTCCGGTCCAGCGGAGAGAAACAAGGTGGTGTATGGTTTAGCCATTGGAGGAAGGTGAAAATGGTAGTATGGTGGCTGTCTGTGTCTCAGATGAATATAAACTATTTGAAAGGGAAAGATGATAGTGAAGAGAAGAAACCGACAGACGATAAACTTTGCAGCTTGATGCTGACAAATATGGATTGGTGACGAACACGACGATGACAGCCAGAAGCTTATATTTGTCGGCCACTTCGACGCAAGAGCTTTCACATGGATTTAGTTATGACGAGATTCAATCAAGTTGCCCCTCGGGCGCAAAACTGCCGACTATGGTAACCAAGTTGGCTTCTTTGAAATTGGCCCGTGCTTCCAAATTGACTCATCACTCTCAATTTCTCTATCATCAAAACATTTAGTGTGTGGAGTTTTCTCAAGGACCACTGATGTTAAAACTTCAGCTTTTCAACTATGCATCAAACACTTGCATGAGCTCGGATAATCCATGCCAGGTGCTTGGTATTTGTTATTTTTTCCAATAATTTAAGGTGATTACGATTAGTATCTGTTCAAAATTTCTTTTAGCCTATTGACAACTTGCATGCATCTTGTAGACGTAATTGCTCGAATTCAAATTCTCTAGAGAAAATAATATTTTCTTTTACTACATAGACTAATCAATAAGTTCGGTGTTTGCTATATTCTTGTGTAACATTCATGTTTGAGTCCGTAATTTAATTTGTCTTGTGGAATCTAGAGAATATCCAAATGAGTGAGTATAGCAGCGACATGTTCTGCCTGAGACTTTGTAATGCTATGATTTTGTGATGATGGGTTTATCTCTCTTTTACTTTTCTGTAATCTGGCAGAAATTCACACCTTCCATGGAGTGGATCACTGACACCATTCTTACGAAAAAAAGGGGGGGGGGGCTAGATCCAAAAGCTTTATTGTTCAACACAGTGAGTAGCATCAATCCAAATCTTATTACTTTGCATCATTTCATTTCATTGCCTTGTAACTTTGCTCTTTTTTACTTTACTTACCAATGATGTTTAAAGATGCAATATTAAAACAGGGTACACTGAAATTTAGAGGAACCCACCAAAAAGGATATTACATCAAATCAAACAGGGTTGTAGTTTGTGGAGGGAAGTAACATCAAAGCCCTTAAAAGCTTTTGGCATAATAATAAAAAAATATTCATATTTTTTTTATATAATCACTTTAATCTATATTTTTTATGAATTTAGCTTTTAATATTTTATTTTGGGTAAAAAATTCTTCCATTGATGAAAACCGTTAGTCAACAAACGGTAAACGCACTAAAATAGAGATTTTTTGGCCTTAAAACGAAATGTTGGAGTCAAAATATTCTTAAAAATGACTAAAATGATAATTTAATCAAATATTAGGAGATTTTTTTGACATTATGTTTATTTTTTCAACTTGCTCTTGGAACATATCATGTGGCTCTCTTTGAGTTTTCCGATTCCACACATCTTAAAATTTCATTACAAAATCACCCTTTCACAAATCTCTTACAAAAAAAACTTTGATTGATTCACGACTTGATCAATTTTGACCCATTTGCTTTGCAGGTCATCTTAAGCATCCCTTATCTATGAAAATTTGTATGCTAAAACAGGAGATTTGAACTAGACAATAGAAAAATATATATTGTTGTGGTTTGTAGATAATGGAGTTGGCAATATAATGTCATACTTTTTAGATATAAGAAAGGGTTATAGCTATTGCGATTCAAATTAAATACATCCTCCTATGATTAAATTACTAAAGTAATAATATTTTAATATTTATTTATTAAAATGACACTTAAAAAACTTTAGTTCTCAAATAGCACCTATTTCTATCACATAAAATGAAGGTGTGTTTACGTGGCAACGCCTTCTGAAAGATTCTTCATCAAGGAAACACTTTTATGCACGTGGAAAGTCCGGAGTTAATAATGAGGTGATCATATAGGCACTTCCTCAAGAAAGAGCCTTTCAAAAGACGTTTTAGGCATGCTTTCGTCCTATGCGATGGAAATAAGTACTATTTTGAGAATTAAAACTTTTTAAGTGTTATTCAGATAAACAAATATTACAAAAAATTATTGTAATAATTTAACCTCCTTATAACGTATATCAAAATTTATTTATTTTTAAGACAGACAGGTTATTAAAAGAAAATTAGGCATAGAAAAACATAGATGCAGACAAATGAAGGTGCAAAGATATAGGACCCCACGAATGGGATCGACATAAAAACAATCATCAGGAGAGAGAAGAAAAGATAAAGATCCCCTCTAGCATTGTCTTTTTGTCTCTTCATTACCCAAGGAATTATGTAGAAACGTATTGTATTTTTAAGATTAATATTAGGATTTAAATCCACATAAAATAAGATAATATAAATATCTTTAGCGATTCAGTCAATTAATAAATCTCTTGATACCAAAATATTTTTAATATCAAGCTCAAACTGATTGACGAGCTCGATTCACCGTTCATAAGATCAATAAAATATTATATTAATCTCTCTCGAATATATGACGGTAATAATCCAACTATAAAGTTGCTTGATTGAGATGCAAAGATTTAGACAAGTGATTAATCAATAATTAAATTATATATATTTTTTGTCTCAAATACTGATTTACTACTTATCATGATTTATGCCCCTGGAAATAATTAGTAATTGGATATGCAATTTTGGACTTAATCAAAAATAAAATATTAAAAAAAGACCTTGAAACACAATACAACAAATGACATGTTGAAGAGGTTATTAGAAAGTGAAAGGGAAAGACAGAGTGATTAGATTAATGTTTTAAAGGTTTGTTCATAAAATGCAATATTTATATTCCAACCACACATTAATATCTCCATTTAAATAATAACATTATAATGTCCATTAAAAATATTTCCATAACGCAATATAAAGAAATCAATAAAAAGCAACTCATTAAAGTATCGTAGTGGTTGAAGGAAATGTTGTTCTCTCTTGGGATTCTAGATTCGAGCAGTTGTGTCTGTATAGTGTGTACACGTTGTCAATGATTAAGAAATATTCTTAACATATATTACCTTGTAATCACTTCATACTATTAGAAAAATTCATATAAATAATTCATGTAAATAATAATTACACATAAAAGAATTATAAATATAGTATGGATGAGGGCACATTTGGGTGAACTTAAAATCGGATTCTTATATACTACATCAAGTTCTGTAGCATTCATCATCATCTCTTTGTTGGTATTGGCAACAGAAAATGTGTTGTTTGTTAGGTTTGTTTTAGAGCTATGTAGTTCCTAGTGAGAAATATTGGATTCCATTTCCATTTTTTTATTTGGTTATGGGAATAAATGTTTTATCCCTTTGCAATAACCCTTATTTATTAACAAATATGTTGATATCATCTTGATTTAATGCCTATGCAAATCCTTAGATGCATAGGAATTCTATGCTACACTTGGTCAAAATTCATGTAGATAAAAAAACATAACATAGAAAGAATATCAAATCAATTACATATAGGTCAAGAAATTAACCATATGAATATCAAGTTTGACTTATTAAATTCATTTTTGGGTAAAGTACACAAATAGTCTCTCGCGGTATTGTTGTGTTGAGTCCATCAACTAATAAATGTTATAAGATGGCCATTCGACTATAGGATGCTACTTTGTTGAGTCCTCCGACTATTAAAAGTTACAAAATGGCCACTCAAGTATTCATATGTTCCAAACTCGTCCTTTTTTTGTTAAAATATTGGTAGCCATTTGAGTTGTATTTTATGGATCGACTCTCCCTTTACATTATATTGTCGAGCCAGTGCTTGAAAAGTTACATCGTCGAACCATTGCTTGAAAGCAATGGCAGTGCCAATAGACATTATTAAAATATGATTTTATTATGTCCTAATCAACGTGTTAATGTCAAACTTAGACGATCATCATTTTTTTAATAGGAAATGGTGAGTTTGGAATAAATGAATAGATGAGTGACCATTTTTAAAATTAAAATAGTTTAGGGACTCAACAAAATAGCATCCTATAGTTAAGGGATCGTTTTGTAATTTTTAATAGTTAGGTGACTCAACAAAGCATAACCCTATAGCTAGGGGACTATTTGTGTACTTTACCCTTAATTTTTAACAAAAAAAATAAATTTTCATTAAGGAACCAATGTATAATAAAGACAATACAATTATAATATGAAAACTTTCCATACATGGCGTGAATAAAAATAAAATCAAAACTTTTCATTAAATACATACTTCATATTCAAAAAATCTAGTAACTATTAATAATCTACGCATCTTTATTCAAAACTATACATAATATTGATGTAGTTGTGAAGATTGAAAGAATAATTCTAACAGATTGCTCCGTGAACAATTCTGAATGTATTGACAAACTATCTTAAAAATGGATCTAAATGTATGCATGCAACATAGAATGTTAAACTATCATAACGATAGATAAAATTGTGCTATAAAAGCATACGAAAAACCGTGTCATAAAAAAATACAAAAACAAATGTTTTAAGAATATGTGGAAAAAATCAATATTTAAAGGATATTTATTTAAACCGAAAAAAATGAAGAGAAAAGAAAAACAACAATATTAGATCGCCACCTAAAGCGACACTTTAAGAAAGAGATTAAAGAATAACTTTAGAAAGAAAACTAGGGTCCTTAAAGATTCTTACTTGTTTAATTCATCTGAGTATCCTTAAAAAGGTGGTACTTAATGGGTTTGGCGTTAGAATTTTAACATATGAAACTTCACTTAATCATCCTACTACGACCTTAATTTATACGAAAAAAAAATATCAAGGTAAAGTAATTAAATATTTGAATTTAAAAATTATATTTAGATTATAAATTAATCCTTAAAAGAACAATATTGATTAAGTTTGATGTCAAACTTTGGTGTTTGTAATTTTTTTAATAGTATGTGGTGATCATCAAGCCACGTTTGTAATATTGGTTGATTTAAAAATTATTGGTGTTGATAAACGCAAAAGAATTGTTAGTCAAAATGAACTTCGAGTGTTAGGATAAACACTCTAAACAACTCTGAGAGTTAAATTAATGCAAAAATATGATAATAACAATTATTATTTTGTAATGGCGTTGGAACCTTGTTTTAAATGTCTCGTTTTTTCTTCCGCGGCATAAATTCTTTGCAATTCTCCAAATCATGACAATGCATGGTTTTTTTTCAAACAAAAAGAAACAAACACTAAATGCCATACAAGAATATTTGACATCATAATTGTAATGTATAATTTTATGTGGATATATCATAATTTATATTTAGAAATTGCATAGAAAATCCATATTCTTGCTTTTCACTATAGCCAGGGCGGACCTTATAGTTGCCCTGAGTATCCCAGGCAACCCTTTAAAATTGTCTATTTAGTATTAATTTTTTTTAATTTTTTAAAATTAATACAAGTGTCACCCCTAATATTGTGTGTAACTGTTGCTCTTTATTATAGGAAAAAATTAATATCCTATTTAAAATTAAAATAAAAGAGATCAAGCACAAAAAACAAACCTTAAACCCATGAATCAAACACCTATTTTCAGTTTTGTTAGAATTGGGATACGCCTTAATTTTTGTGCAACCCTTGAATTTTTCCTGGGTCCGCCTCTAACTATAGCTTAACACCAATTATTTATTTATTATGCACCTCAACATATATATATATATATTTAAGCAAATACATATAATAAATATATTTCTATATATAGTACGATAATGACCCTAAATATAATAGTATGGGCAATATTTTAGAATTCAAAACTTTGTACTTGGCCATTTCTGAATTCGAATGAAATTGAGTTCTGCAAAGGAGTCAAAGGAGGCCTTCCCAAACCATGGAGGACATAATAAGAGCTCTCTTCACTTCAAACGGCGGAGCCACCCCCTGATTCTTCCACTTCAACCGGTCGATCAGCTCGAGCAATGATCTTCGGTAACAGTAGACATGTACAACAACAACAACAATAACAATCTTCATCATCATCATCAGCCTCAAATTAGCCACACATCAACCAGCCGTTCATCAGACTACTCGGCTGGTGGCAGCGGCGACGGGGAGCCTAGTGGCACGGGTAACAAATGGGCATCCAGGCTTCTAAAGGAATGTGCTAGAGCCATCTCCGACAAGGATTCTAGCAAAATCCATCACCTTCTTTGGATGTTAAACGAGTTGTCTTCCCCTTATGGAGACTGTGATCAGAAACTAGCTTCGTATTTCTTGCAGGCACTGTTCTGTAAGGCCACGGAATCGGGACAACGATGCTTTAATACCCTAACTTCCGTCGCCGAAAAGAGCCACTCCTTCGACTCGGCACGGAAGCTGATCCTTAAGTTCCAAGAGGTTAGTCCATGGACAACTTTCGGTCACCTAGCCGCCAATGGTGCAATTTTGGAAGCTTTAGATGGTGAGCCTAAGCTTCACATCATCGACATAAGCAATACCCTTTGCACTCAATGGCCTACTTTGCTAGAAGCTCTGGCCACTCGAAACGACGATACACCACACTTAAAGCTCACGGTCGTCGTCACCGCTAATATCGTAAGATCGGTGATGAAGGAAATAAGCCAGCGAATGGAGAAGTTTGCTAGGTTAATGGGTGTACCCTTTGAGTTTAATGTGATAACTGGACTAAATCACTTAGGTGGGCTCACAAAAGAGGCACTCGGCGTTCTCGAAGATGAAGCCGTCGCAGTGAATTGTATCGGAGCCTTGCGAAGAGTCACCGTCAAGGAAAGAGCCCCTCTGATCCAGATGTTCCGGTCACTGGGGCCTAAAGTTGTGACGGTAGTTGAGGAAGAAGCCGATTTTTCGAGCACTCGATACGAATTCGTCAAATGCTTCGAAGAATGCCTAAGATTCTACACTCTCTACTTTGAAATGCTGGAGGAATGCTTCACCCCAACCAGCAATGAGAAGCTTATGCTCGAAAGGGAGTGCTCAAGGAGCATAGTTAGGGTTTTAGCTTGTGAAGACGGCCAAGACAACGAAAGCGAGTGCGAGAGAAGAGAAAGAGGGAGCCAATGGTCCGAAAGACTCAAGGAAGCATTCTCGCCGGTCGGGTTTAGCGACGACGTAGCGGACGACGTCAAGGCATTGCTAAAAAGGTACAAAGCCGGATGGGGACTCGCACAACCACATCAAAATGAAACAGGACTTTACTTAACATGGAAAGAAGAATCAGTGGTATGGGTATCGGCATGGAAACCCTAGAAACTGAATCATTTGCACTGCATTTATGAAAGAATTTGAAGCAAAACAAAACATGCAGAAGGAGTTCATTGCTTTTTTCATATAAAAATCATAGATATATTTACATATGTGCTTGTCTACTTTTTTTTTCAGCTTTATGCTTTGGAGTTTGTGATGTTCCTTTTTCTGATTTAGATCATTATTCTTGTTTGAAGGTGTTTGAATTTGTGCCTCTGTCTTCTCCATGACAATATCCCATTGCTTCCCTGTATTGATTTTCCTTATTTTGGATCATCAATTTCTCAGAATTTTGTATAAAAATTATGTATTATAAGTTTGCAATAAAAATGTAACAATATCTCTCATTAGGTCCAATATATATATGGTTTTCTTATTATATATATTGAGAAAAAAATGAAAATTTATTTATTTGTTTGTTATTTATCATTATTTATCGATCCGTTTATCTCTTCATTTATCTTACATTACAAATTTTATAATAATCTTTTACCCTTACTAGTTATACTATAAATATAGCCATGTATATAAGTATGCGGATTATATTATTAGATAACTGATTTTGGTTATATTTGAACCGATGGAATGGAATGTTGTTCTTTCTAAGGTTTCGGGTTCAAGTAAAGGTGCACAAAAAATTCGAATATCCGATTTTGCGCAAAAAAATATCCAAAACCGGATTTGGGAAAAATCGGTTTTTTTTTAACCAGATCGGATTTTTCTAAACCGGTTTTTTTACCGGATAAAAAATCGGTTTTTACCCGAAAAAACCCGGTCTGGGTTTAAAAAACTAGACGTTAATATAGCCGTTGGGAGGGTTTTGTGACCGTTTTGACCCTTTTTTTCTTAAAAAAATTACCATTTTACCACCCTAAACATGTATAATTAGGTTGGGGATGTATTTGGTTGATTACAAATTTCTCAAATCTTATTACACAACACCTAAACATCTCTCAAATCTTATTTTTGTAATTTTTTGTTCATCATGAGTAACATGGTTGAATCTTCCGTCGGGAGAAACCTTGAAGTCGTGAGAGTGATCGAACACACTCGAAACAAAGATATTTGGGATCACTACGATTTATGTGAGATGTCAAATGGCTCGAGGAGGGCACGTTGTAAACTTTGTCTAAAGTTGCTTGCACCGGAAGGAAACACAACGTTGAAGAACCATTTGACAAAATCATGCAAGGCACTTCGCTCAAGATCGGATCCAAGTCAATCGAATCTTACACCGCAAGGTGGTGTTTTTGTTTACGACAACAAAAAATTACGAGAAGCATTTACAAAGTTCGTAATTACAAAAGCATTGCCGTTCGACCACTTTGATGATGAAGATTTCACGGCAATAATTCAACAACTAATGCAACCACGTTATACTCAAGTAAGTCGTACTACCCTTAGAAGAGATGCTATAAAAATGTGGCGTACGGCGAGGGAAAAATGATTTTAGGATTCCAAGAACATATTTATGGTGTGTCGCTTACATGTGACGTTTGGAGTTCCCCTCATAATACCGGAAATTCTTTTTTAGCCGTTACGGCACATTGGTTAGATCTAGATAATTGGCAAATGATGAAAAGAACAATCGCGTTTGAATTATTCGGTGAGCCGCATACCGGTGCTAATTTATTTACACTTTAAAAGGGGTGATTTGTCTTTATAAATTAGAAAATAAAGTTTTTTCTATATCATTTGATAATGCATCGAATAATACAAACGCGGTTCCAAGATTGAAAATATTACTTTCACCGATTTTAGACGGTGCGTTTTTTCATACCCGTTGCGTTGCACACATAATTAATTTATCCGTGCAAGTCGGTTTGGAGGTTATTGAGCCGATTAGATTAGAATTTAAAGCAATGATAAAATATGTTCTTTGTAACAACAATAAAAGACTAAATGATTATAAACGATTTTGTAAGTCGGTTAATAAAAAAGCTTTGGGTCCTAATTTGGATTGTTCAACTCGTTGGAACTCAACTTGGATGATGATGCATACCGCCTTAAGGCAAAGGGAAACATTGCAAACATTTCACGATCGACTTTTCGAGAGGGGCCATGTCCCAAACATTTATCCTGATTCGAGTTGGGAAACTATAGCCAAAATAACCGATTTGCTTGAGGTTTTTAAAAATGCAACAACTTTTTTATCTGGTGTTTATTACCCTACTAGCCCGTTGGTTATTAATCAAATATTTTTGTTGGCTACCCAACTAAATGACTTTGAATTTGAAACCGAAGTTTTTCAAGAAATTGGCTTTGCAATTAAGGAAAAACTTTTAAAATATTTTAAGGAGATTCCCCTCATTTTTACTTGTGCCGCCCATTTAAACCCAACATTAAATGTTAGCGGGGTTGAAACACTAATTGAACAAATTGCGTTTGCTTTTAATCTAACCGATGATGAATCCAACTTTGTCCAAAACCAAATAAATTATTTTAACAAATGTTTTCGAGACATGTTTGCAATTTATTTAACTAAATACGGATCAAGTAGTGTAATACACGATCAAATGAGAACAAATGCGGAATCATCTAGTAGATGTCCAAGTAACATAAATTTGTCAATTTTTAACACTCTTATAAATTCTCAATCCAAACGATCACGTACTACCACCCCAAGTAGCGAGTTGGGAAATTACATGTCATGCGATTTTCTATCAAAAATGACATTTGAAGAGTTTGAAAGTTTGAATATTTTGGCTTGGTGGAAAGAAAAGGAAGCACAATTTCCGATTCTAGCCGCCATGACCCGTGATTTACTAACCGTCTAAGCTTCTACGGTAGCTTCGGAATCCGCTTTTTCTGTTAGTGGCAGGGTTATATCGCAACGGAGATCAAGACTAAGTCCCGAGTCGGTGGAAGTATGCATTTGTTTGAAGGATTATTTGGATGGAGCGGCTCGAAAGCAACATATCACCACCCTAGAAGATGCAATTGATGCCGATTTAGAAGCAAACTTACACATTGAAGAAGTCGAACTTGGAATATTCCTTCCAAACGAAGAAGGCGAAGATGATGAAGAAGAGATGGCAATGTAGTTTATTTTTAAACTTTATTTCAATTATCGTAAACTTTGTTTCACTTATCGAACTTGTAAGTTTTTAAGTATTTGAATTTATCGAACTTGGTAGTTTTAAGTATTTGAATTTATCGAACTTGGAAGTATTTAAGTATTTCAATTATCGTAAACTTTGTTGCAATTGATGATGATGTAATTTTAATAATATTAAAATCGGTTTTTTTATAACCGGTTTTTAAAAAAAAAACCGATTTTTTTCAAACCGAAACCGATTACACCGGTTAGGATATTCGACCCTCCAAACCGGTTAGAATCTGAACCGGTTATTTTATAAACCGATTTTTTGTCTATGGGAAAAAACCGGATCGAATAAAAACCGATCGGGATCGAATTGAAATCCGACTTCTGTGCATGTCTAGGTTCAAGCACTACTTCTACAAACATGGACAAACATGGGCGGACCTTTGTGGGTGACAAGAGGAACCTTGGCCCTTCCTATTTTTTTAAGTATTAATTAATATTGTAAAATAAATATATATTTTTGAAAAATAAATAAAGAAAAATCTATTAGGCTCCCTCAATTAAAAAAATACATATTTATGGAAAATAGAAAATACTTTAACCCCCGTTTTAATAAATTTATGGTTCTACCCCTATATGCGTATGTGCGTTGTTAATGATTGAAAAAGATTCTAAACAAATACTACATTAAAATTACATCATATTTTTTATAAAAAAAAGTGATTCTAGTTTATATTTAATGCATTTTGTGTATACATTTCATTGGCATAGATATTTAAACTCCTAATAATATCATTGTTATTTTTTCTAAATTACTAAAAAAATGGACAATGAATGTTTACCTCCAACGATTAAGGATTCTTTTCCCACATGATATGATCAACATGGCCGAGGATAAAATGTCTTTCGTTGTCAGTCTATTTGGACGATTATTTTATGCATCCACATCATAAAAAACACTATAAATAGGGTTATAAGAATCTAGTGTATTTTTATTTTTTAAAATTTAAAAGATACATGATAATGTTATAATTTCATTTGGGGAATATTTTTTTCTCACAATTGATGCATATAATAATTATCCATATGTATGCATCTTGAATCCTTAATTTTTATAGGATAAACCCTTAAATTTAAGGGTGTGTTTGAAAAGTTATTGTTTAATTAGATTTGACAGTAATTATACGGTTGTGGTGTATTAGAATAATTATCTTAATTTGTGGGTCTTGCTGAATTAGGTGTAGAGTGTTGTGAAAAGTCATTTTTAGTGGGATGCATAAGAATTGATGTAATTACATTCCATTTTTTTATAATTAATAAAGGTTAAACTTATGTAAGTATTTAATTACAATTTGTAAAGCTAAATATAACATATAAAATTACAATATAATTACAATTTTACTAGTCAAAATACTTCAGAAATTAAAATTCTTTGTAATTACACCCACATATAACTACTTTAGTAATTATATTTTCTTTTTTTTAAATACATTATAATGTCCAAAAATATCCTAAATACATTATAAAATAACCAAGACAGCCAAACTCTATATTCTCTATATGTTCAATTATGTATTCCCTTAATTAGATATAAGTGTTCCAATAACGCCAAGGTCATAAGTTAGATACATGCAAGGAGTTAATGTTAGAGTTCGACTTGAATTTGATCGAACTCATATTGATTGGGAAACGTTAGAAATCTAATTTGATTGAAAATATGAGGTCTATTATATTTTATGCTGGTTGAAAGTAAGGAATATAATTTGAGCAGATTTCTTGTTATATAAGTTTCTTTTGTAATCAAATTATCATCTCTATAAATAAATAGTCGAAAATAGGGTTAGATATAAAATTATTCATGAGGATTTTTCTTTTATTCTTCTATTTTTGACATAAGTGAAAACTTTTATTTTATGTTCGTAGATTTTCCCGAAAGAATTGTTCACGTAAAATTTTGATATTTATTTTACCGACGATCATTATACTTATCGTTATCTTCTAACTAACAGTTAACAATATTTTAATTGATTAGCAAATATTTATTTTCCTAAAAGAATAATTAGATATAAACATTGAACAATCTTGAAGATAACCCAAACTTATCCAATGAAGAAACCCAAAACATGTCATCATCCCTTTGGAAATTAATTGTAAACAAGAAGTACTTGTTTTAAGGACATCAAATAAAGAGGAAAAAAACTGACATAAAGAGAAAAGGGACCAAAGAAGAGACATTGGTGGCAAACACAAGAATACCAACCAAATCCATGTTTGCCTACCATTGTCTATGTGTAGTGACTTGAATAGCATATTTTTTTTGTGCCTTTACTTACCATTATTTTCTTATTGCTTTACCCCAACATTGTGTAGTGGAAATCAACTTTTCTAGATTTAGATCAGACCCCTTTCTTGTTCATTTCTTATTGGCTTAAAGTAAAAACAAACCCCTAAATTATGATATTTTTTTCCTTTAAGTCCTTAAATTATTATATTTAACCATTCTAAGTTTCATCGTTTTCAGTTATAATTTTTTAGTCAATAAGATTTTGATATGTCACACAAAATTAAGTATTTATTTTGACCAAAAATAATAATTTGGGGACTTGAAGCAAAAAAGGGTATAATTTAGGGGCTTATTTTGAAAAAAAATAGTTTAGGTATTTAAATTGATTAATAGTTTAAGAATTTATTTTAATCAAAAAATAGTTTAGAGATTTAAAGGAAATAATAAGGACTTAAACTAAATGTTTATATATATATATATTTATTTCCCTAATTATTTATTTCTTTTTTCTTTTTTGAATTATAAATGTTTCTTTTTTTTCCAAAGCTTAGCCCTACAATATTAGTAAATCAAATAAAGTTACCTTAATAAGTTTATCAACAAAATTTGAAATATATAATTTTTTAATGAAAATCTATTAAATGATCTCGTAAAAATGAATTTTGATCTTTCTAGAGGTCCAAACAATGATATATATAGAGGTGTGTATTATATTAAGTTAGAAAATATTTTATATTCAATATTGATAATTCAAATCGATTTAATTTATAATAGCATATACAATAATGTAGAGTATTCATAAGCCAACAAACATGCAACAAAGCTTTATAAAGCTGGGCCCAGCTTGAATCATTACTTTATCATTGGAAAAGAAAATATATATATATATATATATATTGGACAAATACTTTATTTATATTTAGTTTTAAAATTTTCTAAATGATATAGTTTTCAATCCTAGGAAATATTATTTTCAAATATATCAGTTAAAAGAAAAGATAATAATTTTTATGTAATCAACATGTACTTTATTCATATTTAGTTGTTGGTTTCCTTAAATAATAAAAGCTCAATCCTATGGGAAATGGTTTTAAAATATAAAAAAATTAAATGTAATATTTATATAATTATAAGTTGGTATAGGAAGATGAGACATTTAATTCATTAGGTAAAGTTAGATATTTAAATATTAATATTATGGATGAAGCAAATTGAAGTGAAAGAGCTGTATTTATTATGAATATTGTTGTTTATGATTTAGACTAATTAGCCATCGGGTATATATGTTTATACAAAATATTTTTTATTAATCTAAGGCGATTACAAGTGGCAGTATCTATTTTAAAGACCCTCAATCATTTGATAATAGACGCTCAAATACCCTGCAGTCGTTGGTGTTCAAATCCGAGACCTCTAAAAATAACAATCATCCATTTTAATAAATATTTTATATAAAATATATATTTCAAAATACTATTCAATAAATAAATATAGGTGGAGTGATAAAGGATTAAAATCTAGATTCATTAGTCTCTTGTTTGAAACTCAAATAATACCTTTAGTTATTTTATTTATTTAAAATGATTTTAAGTATTTTATTTATTTTCCTTTTTAAAATTATACGAACGACATTTACCATGATTCTAATCTTACTAGTACAAAAAAATTCATTGACATAGGTGAATCTTATGACTTGTAATCCTGAAATGTAATCTGAAGTAATGAAATCGAGCTCATGTACAAATAATGAACACGGAGAGTAAATTTCGAAAATCTCAATGAAGTAATCAATGAAGAAAATATAATATTCATAATAAAGATTGCAAGTATAAAAGCCAACATGTAATCATAAATTATAATCACATTTGTAATTCGCATATTTCATAATTGAACACTTTCGTAATTCATATATCATATTAATTCAAATTTAATAACAAGTTGATTACCCAAAAGTAATGTTACATTATGTAAACCAAGCGACCCCTACAGGTAACACACAATAGGCATGTAGTCTTACAACACCTAAAGGTAATGTTACATTCCAATTATCTTTATTTCGTCAATCAATTAATGTAATTTTACATTCATGCTAAATAAATCAAACACAATAATATAATATTCTCAGTCAAATAATATTACATTCCGATAATTTTATTCTCGAAAATAATATTACATTCCATAAATCAAACGCCAAAAATGACACCAATAGACATATAATCTTACATCACCTAAAGGTAACACTGAAATAATAACACATCTAAACATATATCACATCGCCCGAGGACATTTCAAACACATTTTAACCCATATCACAAGTTCTAAATCGATCTCACGACATGATTTTTATATGTAAGAGTGCTAAGATAACTGAAGCTCGCGTTATGATATTTTCACATATTAAATAAGCAACAAAGAAAAGACTCTTGAAGCAAATCACCGCCCCAAGACCCACCTCTGCCGTTCAAAACTTCTGGTGAAAAGCAAGAATCAAACACATCAAGAAAGACAGAGCTGAAACAGAATACCATTTCACCTGTAGACCACAAGTCTGAACAAACGCACCGGATTCAGTGACCAAGTAATGAACAAAGAACATAGCAGACCCAAAGCCAAAGAATAGATCGGGAGGGAAAATAAGAAGAAGACGAGGACTAACCAAGAAGACAAGTTTTAAAACTCAATTTTACTACACTAGTTTCGGAAACTCGGTTCAACTCAAAAAAATTTAAATTTAAATCTAATTATAAAATAGAATTCAAATAACTCAAATAATAACTCAAAATTTCTAATAATTCACATATTGATTTTTAAGTCTGATTTAAACCCTTCAACTATGTATTATATGTATAATTGTATATTTTATATGAAAAATATATAAATATATATAGTGTATAATTATAGAATATTGTTTAAATTAGAATCAAATAATACTATAATATTATAAATCTTTTACAATTAAAATTAAAAAAAATAACAATACAAATCAAAATAAATTTTATAAACTCAACTCAATATAATTTTTTTTAAATAAAATCTAAATTATAAAATAAAACTTATCAATTAAAATAATTTAATTTTTATTCAACTCGACCAAAACTTTTCATTCATGAGCTGACTTCGCATTGTATACCGTCCAAATCAAGTTTTACAAGACTCAACGTAATATAACAACTTAGACAAGGCTAAAACGGGTAAAACAAGAAAAACATTTTAGGGTTTCCTTGAGCGCCTCCATATAATCATTAACTAAGAAAGACAAGTTACCTTTGAGTTTAGTTTATTTTCCCTGCAGAGTGAAGGAGCTCCCCGGAAGGGTCAATTGAAAATGGTTAGATAAATCCTATTCTCTCTTAAATTATTTCATTAGATCTCCGAAACTGATTTTGTTTCGATGCCCAATGGCTCATGTTTCGAAACTGATTTAAAGTGGTTCTTGTAAATGATTATGAGAAATAGTTTGGGTTGTGTATTTAGGAGACGGTTGAAAGACGTGAGCTTTGCCGTAAGAGTATGGTTTTATAAATGGTGCTAAATGATTTTGCTTTAAGTGTATATTTTCTCGTTTTTGTTCAATTGGAACATTTCCAGTGAACTACTTTGTCCTTGGTCTGCTTAAAAATATTAAAACTATTAATCCTATTATTCTTTAGGTATTTCTCTAATGATTTTAAATCATTTGGTGTAGCTGGTCTGGTTTGATGAAAGCTTTATTAAAAGTTTTAAGTAAATTGGCGAGAATTTTAACGAACAAAGTTGAACCATGGGATTAAATCTCTGAGAATTTGAATAAAGTTGAAACATTTGGAATGTTTGTTGATAGTCTCGCTAAATTATATTGTCCTCTATAGCATCCGTTTAGTTTGGTTAGCTTGAATGTGCAGCTTTTCCCCCTCGGTTGTATTCGAGTTGTTTAATCGTCCTGGTTGTGATAGGCTTTAGGCTTATAGGACTTTGGTTTTCTGGTTCTTCTTTATTTCCTATGATTCTATTTGTTTTTTTTTTCATTTTGTGATGCACAGCCTAAGCAAATTCATGAGATCAAGGACTTTCTTCTCACTGCTAGAAGGAAAGATGCGCGCTCGGTAAAAATCAAGAAAAGCAAAGATGCTGTCAAGTTCAAGGTCCGCTGCTCGAAATACCTGTACACCCTCTGTGTGTCCGATGCCGAGAAGGCTGACAAATTGAAGCAGTCTCTTCCACCAGGTAATTCACGATGGAGGAGCCTTTTTTTCATTCCTTGTTTTTATTTAAAATTCGGTGTTGATATTTGAAATGAACAAACATGATGCGTCCTGAAAATAAGAATCATAAGGATATTTGTTATCATGTTGATAAACATTTCAAGGTTCTTGGTCCTGACATTGTTTTCATGTTTGCAGGTTTGAGCGTTCAGGACCTGTGAAAATTACAACTTCCCTAAGCTTCTCAGTTCAATTAACGGGAGATGAAAACTAGATTTTGACTTGTAGTTTACTGCTTGCATTTCGTTTTGCAATAATCAAAAGCTTTTGTAATGAAATATTTGTTCGGTGTTTTTATGGACGTTAGTATTATTAATCGGACCCTTTGTTTTAATATCCGTGTGTAGCCTACTAGCAAAACTTGTATATATCACAAGATTGAAAACTATTGGACAAATGGCTTATAACTGTGATGCTAAAGCAGTACCCCAAACTTTCCGGCTATGTCACTTTGTTTTCATCGGACGGAATGGTAATCAAACAAAACAAGCAATGGCCGTGGAAGGTAAAAGGGGCACTGAAGATAGGTTTTGGATTGAAGATGCTCCGAGCTGCTGCTATTGACAGTCGGTGGTTCTACCATCCATGGTTACTTGGTTCTGTTTTGGTTTTGCTGGGGACTTTTTCTGCACTTCCCTCGTCTCCTTTGGTATGCTCTTCAATGGTTTATGTTGTTCTCGACTGAAGTTTGTTCAATTGGGCGTTAAATTTTTGTGTTTTCACAAGTCAAAAAGCTTTTAGTTCCTTTGGCTTAATTGAATGGATCTCAGTAGTTGTAGTGTCTGATGGTAATATTTTATTCATGCAAAATCTGTCATATGCATAATAAATCTAACTACTTAATTAGGAATAAAATCCCACTTTCTCCTCTCTCTTTTCTCCTTTTTCTTTTCTCTATACCTATTTCTTATATGTACAGAATACGATCCAAAAATCGACTAAGTAATCATTGCCAATGTCATTACCTTGATCATTATCAATCATTGTCTATGATGGCTAATGAAATCTAAATTTTATTATAAGATTCGTTTCAATTTCCTCGTTTAGTCTATCAAATTAAATTCTCAATAATCTCTATCCAAAATTAGAAAATCACCAAAAGAAATTATTATTATTTTTATCCATGATCTATGTTATCCAATGTTAAATGATCTTTATCATAGGATATATTTTCCTTTTCACCGATAAAAGTTTTCTCTACCGTTTGAATCATCAAATGAAACTCATAATCTTTGAGACACTAAAAAGATAAAAAAAAAATTAAAATGGGTGCACGTGGATGCCATGTTAATAAAAATTAATCTACATCGATACACATTGATTTTATGTCACCCTTCCATTTTTTTTAACGCTCTGAGTGACCAAATTAACAACCAAATCGAAAGTTTAATAAGACAATTACTTTTTTAAACTTTAATAATCAAAATAGAAGTGAAAAATGAAGTGAAGCAGTCGACTTTGCAAATTTCCCTTATTATTATTAACCACTTGTTAATTGTTTGTCTTCTTCATTTCGAACAAAATGACTGAACTACGGTCTCCGATTCGTGAAGGGAAAAGCCTAGCCAGCTCTAAAGGTGCTCATGAAACCTTAATTCTCCCTTTCAAAGTGTTTGGTTAACGAGATAATTTTAAGGAAAATTGTAAGATATCTCTTAACTGTGAATTTTAATTTTTAATTTTTAATTTTTTTTTTTACTTTTTCTTCTGCTTCTCTATTTGAAATATTAGGTTCGTAACTTCCGATTATTGAATTAATAATTTGATATGATCTTCAGTTATTTGGCTTGTAATTGTTCTATTGAATAAATGCGATGATTTTCTTCTTCATCTTAAGCAGTTTATTTCCCCCTTTTTTTTCTATATCTTTCTCTTCACTTCTCCTTCAAGCCGCAGTGAATTGAATTTAATAGATGTTGGAGTTGTTTCTTTCAACTCCAACCTAGCCTTTTGCTTCTTAATTTCATTCTATTTTTAGAGGTGGTGATTAACACTACATCGTAGTCACTGACCTGGTTATTTTTCAAGCGTGGTTGATGGTATTTTAAGTAGTCGATTTAACTTCATTTTTTTTATCTGTGGTGTTGTATTCTTCGTTCAACTGATGGAATCTCAGTTGTGTTGCCTTTCAGTTAAATGGAAGCCTTGGCCGCTGAACATTTAGAGAGAATTTGTATTTTTTTGTTCTGTATTTAGCTAAAAAGGGATAGCATTGTTAACAAATTGGGTTGCATAGTATTCATAGCGTTTAGCTTTCAAATATCTGAAAATGGTTGGAAATTCACTATTCAAGATTCCAACATGCCCATCTTTGTCTTCTTCAACTCTGACCACCATCCCGCCTTGTTCTCGGAGAATCGTTCCATGTCTTCCACCTAAACCAAGAACGAGGCCGGCAAAAGTTAGAGTTATGTCTGCTAGTACTGAGAATAACCCACCACCTGGTTCTTCAGAGGAAAGGAATCCACTTGCTGTTGTTTTAGATATTCCTCAGAATATTTGGAGGCAAACTTCACGTCCACTGAGTGATTTTGGGTTTGGTCGTAGAAGCATTTGGGAAGGTGGGGTTGGGTTGTTTCTTGTGTCAGGTACTGTGCTTCTTGCGCTTTCTCTGGCTTGGTTGAGGGGCTTTCAGATTCGTTCTAAATTCCGGAAGTACCTAGCAGTGTTTGAATTTGCTCAGGCATCTGGTATTTGCACTGGAACACCTGTTAGGATTAGAGGGGTGACTGTAGGCAATGTTGTACGTGTTAATCCATCCCTGAGAAGTATAGAAGCAGTTGTTGAGGTACGTTTCAGGATAACAAATTTTCTGTAATATATACTTGTGGTTTTGTTTGTGTATGCACCAACATTGTTGTCATCATTCTTAGGTTGAAGATGATAAGATCATTATACCTCGAAATTCGCTGATTGAGGTCAACCAATCTGGTCTTTTGATGGAAACTCTGATTGATATCACACCAAGGGATCCAATTCCGTCACCTTCAGTGGGACCTCTAGATGCTGACTGCTTTAAGGAAGGCTTAATTGTATGTGATAGACAAAAGATAAAGGGAGAACAAGGGGTAAGTCTGGATGAGTTGGTAGGGATGTCACCCGTCTTGCTCGTCAAATGGAGGAAATTGGTATTGCCAACACCTATTCACTTGCTGAGCGAGTTGCTGCTGTTATTCAGGATGCAAAGCCCCTGCTCACAAAGGTGTGCAATGTTTTGTTAAATTTTATGTTTTATTGATGAAATTTCTTTTTCTAAACTAGATTGCTGAGAGTTCTATTATAAGCATGAAAGAAGTGAATGGGCCTGCTACATTATCTTTTCTCTTCTTTTTTTTTTTTTTTACTCTGTGAGTTCTGTTTGAATGATTTATTATTACACCCACACTGTAGCCTGAGGAGCATAAATCTAGAAGTTTATGTCTGTACGTGTTTCCCTGATCTCTAATGATTGGATAAACATTCTAATCTGAACTTTTGATGGATTCTCATGCTCAAAATTTTGAATTGGATGTAGTGATTTTTCAGATTGAAGCCATGGCCGAAGATGTGCAACCTTGTTGGCCGAGCTTCATGATAGTGGTCTGCTTAAGGAGGTTGAGAATTTGACAAGAAGCCTAACACAAGCCTCTGAGGATTTGAGGTGAATTCTCTATTCTTTCTTGATTATAATTTATTATGATGTGCTTGTCATAAAGAGTTGCTCCCACATGCTATATCTAAGAATTGTTTTCAGAAATAAAAGGTCTGGTGGTGCCTCATGATTTCTATTTTCTAGGTAATGTCTGGAAATGCATCAAACAATAATCTTAATTCTTACATTTTACATAGTCACCTTCCATCTCCACGCCGTGTTATGGAGTCTTTTATGATTTTACCATTGTGTTCAATGGTTAGCATATATTACTGCTACAATCAACCCTGTCTCCAGCTACCTAGGTATCAATCGTTGCTCCCACAGTTAAGTCAGTTGTAGATGTTGCATCATGAATTCAATCTAGATCCTTGAATTTGGAATAGCAAATTTAAAAATGCTGTGGCTCAATAAATTATTAGTAATGTATGAGCTTACAACTACAGTTCCATTCTGTGCAGAAGGGTGCATTCATCCATTATGACCCCTGAGAATACGGAATTGATTCAAAAATCAATTTATACTCTGATTTTCACTTTGAAGAATATCGAGGTAAAAATTTGCTTACCTGTTACTAGCATTCCTCTCAATTGTTATTTAAATCTTCGAATTCACATCTATCCTGCCTCTCTTCTTTTACCTTTTCAGAATATAAGTTCTGATATACTGGGATTCACGGGGGATGAGTCTACAAGAAAGAATCTAAAATCACTTATCAAGTCGCTTAGCAGGATGTTGTGATTGTGAAGACAAGTGAAAAGAAGACAATAATTGATTACAGTTTCCGAACTCAAAACTGGTTTGTCTTTTCCATTGTTATAAAGGGGGAGATATTGAAGTGAAGCTTCTGGTTTGTACTGTTCTTGTCCGTTGCAATTTCTTGGAAAATCTTGATGCTTGAGGTATTTGTCGAACACCTTTTACTAGTATAAATGCAAATTAATTTTTTTCAATTGCTAATTAGTAGTTGCAAACTGTTGCTGTGATTGAATGAAAGTGGAAAACATTCTCGAAGCAACTGATCACAGGGTTTGATGCAAGTAAGTGCATTTCATCATCGTTTCACTATGGTTTTGTTGGTTTCCCAAATCTTAGGGGTGGGGGAGGATTTGAACGTTACATTAAATCTAATCTTTTTATTGTTTCGCTATGGTTTTACTGGTTTTTCAAATAACATGGTAGATGAATCTCTTGCCTTTCATTTTGTTTCCCATTTTCTTCTCTCTTGGCTTGAGTTCTGGACTCGCAGAATAATCGGACCCTTAAGATCCTGAATTTATCATGTTTACCGGAAGGGAAATTCTTATGATATTGCAGAATCATTCATGTATGCTCAATGGACAGAAAATTTGTTTACAAATACCAAAAGTAGGTTTTCCTCGGCCTCTGCCCGTATGTTCCATCTCCTTAGAAGGAAACGCCCAAAGTTGGTTTCTTTTTTCATGTTTTTATCGTCGTCTTATGATTCATATTTGAGGTTAGGGAATGTTTTTTTAATATTATGAGGTGATTACAAGATACTATCTGTTTAGAATTTTCTTAACCTATTGGCAATGCACACACACCCTGTAGATGCAGTTGCTCGAACCTAATACCTCTAGAAAAATAACATTAGGGAATGTTATTTTAACAACGTCATCTTCAAATTTCGAACGTTATTCACTCATTTAGAATATAGTGCGTCTTTAATACTGTACTTAATA